CTGTTGCGCGCAGCTGTGGCGACATGAGCCACGAGCCTCCCCTGCCTCCGCGGTGGCGGCAGCAGCAGGCAGCAGCGGCAGGCGCAGTGGGGCTTGGTCTCCTGCCTGGCTGCCTGCGGCTTTGCGCACTACTACATGCCTCCGGGAATGTTGGATTCAGCCTAGGCCTGTGGGGATCGGGCCGAAACCGGCAGTCCAACATCTGAGAGATCCTGAATTGCGAGAGAGCACAGGCCAGGCTGAGAGACCCCACTGGTGCATGAATCCGTGCCTGTAGTATACTGTAACACGGATGGATCTTGAGGATATGGCTGAGTGAAATAAGTCAGTTACAAAAAACCAACACTATATAATTCCACTCATATGAGGCATCTACAGAGTCAAATTCATAGAAACAGTAGAATTGTGGTTGCCAGAGGCTGGGGCTGTAGGGAAATAGGAAGTTGTTTAATGAACACAGTTTCCGTTTGAAAGATGAAAAAGTTATAGTGATTGGTTGTGCAACAGTGTGACTGTACATAACACTACTCAACAGCATGTACACTTAGAAATGATTAAGACGGCATATTTAACGTTATGTGTATTTTAGCACAAGGAAAATTTTTTTAAAAATTTAAATGTTAATTATAGAATCTAGGTGGTAGATAAACAGATTATCACCAAAATTCTTTCAACTTTGCTGTATATTGAGGGGGAAAAAAAGGAAAATTACAGACCAACTTCTCTGGTGAACGAAAATCCTATATAAAATAATAGCAAACTAAATCTAAAGACACAAAAAGGGAAAATCCTCACATTCTAAGACTATAAGAATAATTTCATACTTTTGGATTTCTTCCGACTTATTATTTATAAGTCTGTTATTCTAAAATATTAGACTTTCCAGATATCTTTTTGTTATTGACTCTTAATTTTATTTCGTTGTAGTAGAAGAGGATTTTGCTAAATGAAATAAGCAAGACAGAGAAAGACAAATACCATATGATCTCACTTATATGTGGAATCTAGTGAACAAAATAAACTGATGAGCAAAACAGAAACAGGGGCATGGATACATGGAGCAGACTGGCAGCTGTCACAGGGGAGGTAGGCGGAGAATAAATGAAAGAAGGTGAAGAAATTAGCTAAAGAACTCAGAGACCCAGATAACGGTGTGGTGATGGCCAGAGGGAAGGGGTGGAGGTAGGGGGGAAAAATGAGGGAAACATGTAATAGTGTCAGCAATAAAAATAAAGTTAAAAAGGAAGCATTCTTTTCAAAATATTGGGCCTTATTTGTTAGCATGTGTACAGTTTATCTTAGTAAATGTTCTGTGTGCCCTTTTTAAGAATGTGTATTCTGCTTTTGTTACCAGTAGGTGGAGTATTCTCTAAATGCCAGTTGGGACAAGGAGGTATTGTCAAGCCTTTTTGTGTCCTTTCTGTTTGTTTATCTTTTCTATCCATTTTCTGGGAGTGGAAATGTGGAAATCTTCTATAATAATAAAAGCATAATATGCTAATTAGACTGGACAGCCAAATGACCTTCCAGACATCCTTCTGGACAATTTTCCGGACAAAGCCCGGGCTCTGAGAGCCGAGGCAGCCGCCACGTCTGCGAGGGCCAAACTCCTTGCACAGATTTCGTGCATTGGGCCTCAGTATTCTAATATAACTATGAATTTGTCTGTTTATCTTTGTAGCTTTTGCTTAATATATTCTGAAGTTTAGTTGTTAGGTACATAAACATTTACGATTATGGGAAATTTTTCTTCAACCTACCTCATATTATATTTTAAAAAAGGTTTTGTTTCAAATGGATTGTAAATCTAAGTGAGAAAGGAACAATCAGAGCTTTTGAAGAAAAACACAAGGCATGTCTTCAAGACCTTGTGGAAGGTAAAGACTTTATTAAAAGGCTATAAAAATAGATAATCATAAAAGGAAAACTGGTAAGTTAGCATACATTAAAATAAAGAATACCTACTAAAAGAATGAGAAAGAGCAAACTGTGTATAAATAACACTTCTGACAAAAACCTTATATCCATAGTAACAAAATGCCTATATAAGGCAATAAGCAAAGGTAGATGACCCAATCTAGAAAATGAGCAAAAGACTTTAACAGTTACTGACAAGTCAAGAATTTTTTTAAAATATGATACATTTATATAACGGTTGGTATAAAAGTCAGTATCTTAATGGCCAATAAGCATATGAAAAACTTAACATTGTTCCTCATCAGTGAAATGTAAATGAAAATCACTACACACCCACCATAATGGTTAAAATGAAAAAGATTGACCCAAAATGGGTTTCATTTTAACCCATGGCGGTTAAAATGAAAAAGACTGACAATAGCAAGTGTTAAGGATATGGTACAAACTAGAACTCTACTGTTGCTGATGGGCATGTCAATTGATTCAGACACTTGGCAAAATGGTTTGGCACAGAAACTAAAGTTACGTATATACCTACCACATGACTATAAGACAATTCCTAGGCACATGCCCCAAAGAAGAGTGAGTATGTTCACCAAAGACATGTATAAGAATGTTCAAAAGCAGTTTTATTGTTGAAAAGCCAAAAACTAGAAACAACCCAAATGCCTGTCAAAAGGAGAAGAAACAATCATAAGTATAGTCTTACAGTGGAATAGTATACAGCAGTAAAAAAGATTGAGCTGGTGCATACAACACCACGATGGGTTGTAAAACTATTATGGGTTGAGCATAAAAAACAAGGCCAAAAAAAGGAGAAGAGGGAACATATTATTTCACTTATACAAAGTTCAAAAATAGGCAGAACTAATTTATGGTGACAAATGGAAACGGTAGGTTATAAGGAAAATTGGAGAGAAAGGTCCATTTTAATTTTAGTTGTTCCTATATGAGTTTATATTAATGTAAAAATTCATCTAGCTGTACATTAAACATTTGTGAATTTTATTGTATGTACATATAATAGTTCAATAAAGATAATGGGACAAGCTATTGATAGAGTGAAAAGCAAAGTAACAGAAGGGTGATTATCCTATTTAATAAAGAAGAAATATGCAAATTGACCATCACACCATAACAAGATGGCTGCACCCATAGTAGAGGCGGGGATCCCATAACACAAGATGTCTGTGTCTACAGGGGCCGAGTCCCCCTAATGAGCCTTAATGAGCAATCAGCAGGGACCTAAGGCTGTGTGATGCTGGGCGGGGGCAGGGGATCTGAGGCTGTGCCCCTGCTTGGCGGGACTTAACAGGGGACCTTAGGCCACACCCCTGCCCCAGCGCCAGACTGGAGGACCTCAGGCAGCAGCCCCTCCCCCCATCATGCAGGGCTTGACAGGGGACCTCAGGCTGCATCCCCTGCCCCAGCGCTGGGCCAAGGGGACATGGGGCCACACCTCCCGCCCGGTGGGATTTGACAGGGACCTCAGGCCACACCCCTGCCCCAGCACTGGGCTGGGGGACCTCAGGCCATGTCCCCTGGCCTGCCACCGGAAAAGGGGACCTGAGGTCACACCCCACGCTCCAGCTTTGGGCCATGGCCCTGAGGCCATGCCCCCTGCCTGGCAGGGCTTTACAGGGGACCTCAGGCCATACCTCTGCCCAGCAGATCTTGACAGGAGACCTCTGGGCGTACCCTCCACCCGGAAGGGCTTGACAGGGGTGGGGCTGGCTGGATTTGGATCTAGCCCAATGGGGAGGGGGCGGGTAGGCCTGGGTCTCTCGCAATTTCGAGGTGCACGTGGGTGGGTGAGGACTTGACTCTGGTTCCCATCGCATGCCCCAGACAGGAGGAAGATTTTCATATATATTTTACTAATTTTCTTTCATCTCTGACACTTCTATTATAGAGAAAGGGCAAATAGCAATATTAAAATATTTCCTCTAATTAATTTCCTTTTAATGTGCACAAATTTCATGCACCGGGTCACACACACACACACACACACACACACACACACACAGTGTGTGTATGTATAGATATATACATACACACACTCACATATATATAAACATACACATATATTATATTTGAGACAAAGGACTTATATCTAGAATACATGGCCTGAGTTCTCCCCCCTAAAAAATCAATAAGCAGCCTTAGCTAATTTGGCTCAGTGGAAAGAGCATCAGCCCTTGGATTGAGGAGTCCTGTGTTTGATTGCAGTCAAGGGCATGTACCTTGGTTGCAGGCTCAATGCCCGGCCCTATGTGGGAAGCAACCAATCGATGTCTCTCTCATATCGATGTTTCTCTGCCTCTTGTCTCCCTCCCCCTTCCATTCCACTTTCTTTCTTTAAAAAAAAAAAATCAATGGAAAAATATCCTTGGGTGAGGATTAACAACAAAAAAATCATTAAGCAAAAAACATACAACTCAATAGAAAATTGGTAATATTTGAAAAGGCAGTTTGCAAAAAAGGATATGGAAATACTCAATAAACATATGAAGGAAGCTCCACCTCATTAGTCCAAGTAGTGGGGATTAAAAGTGTGATATGATGACTCTACACATCAACCAGAATGACACAAATAAAAGATGACCATACAAACACTAGTAAGAATGCATAAAAACTGCAAGTCTCACTCATTATGGGACAAAATGTTAATTGGTGCAATTACTTTGGAATCACATTGGAAAACTGACAATATCTAGTGAAGCTGACCATAGGCATAGTCTTTGTCAACGCCCAGACAAAGATGTCAATAATAAGTAAATATAAATGCAGCATTAAAAGTAACTGTAAGATTAAGATGAGGCTATCTATTATTATCCTCAGCTTCAGAACTATGGCAATTTTAAAACCATTAATTACTTTAAGTGCAATATAATCACATTAAATTTGTTGCTAGTCTATACAAAATAATTCATCACTTTTCACATCTCAATGAATTACTGAGGCCAAAAACTTGAGATGAATAATACTTTATAAATAATTTTTCACAATTCCCAGCAGACATCACTACGCGAGCCCGCAGGGATACACTAGAGAAAGGCCTGGCCAAGTGCCGACAGCTTCACCTTTTTGCTGAGATTCATGTTCTCCATCTTAGCCTTCAGCAGCTTCATCTTGTTCATCGTTATTGAGTTTTCAATTATCTGTTGCCCAGAAGGAGAAGGTTCAATTTCTTCATCCTCATCAGTATACAAATTATACACAGAACCACCACTGCAAAGAAAATGATAATTACCGTTGTTATGTGCCGATACATGCCCCATGACTAAAATTACTCAATGTGCCATAGAAACTATAGACGCTGCTAATGACAAAGCAGCAAATCCATCTTGTCAATGTAAATTTAAGGCAAATGTATTTTTTAAAATGGAGTTTAGGAGAAAAAAGTTAATGGGGCTACATATCACAATCTAGCCTTACTGAAAACTGGAGGACAGCTGAGCTTTTCTGAGGTCGATATAGCATAAGGGAAGGTCTTTTCGGCTCTACCATTCCCACAGGAGCGAACTCCACAAGAATGACCTGGTTTATTCTATCAGCCAAGGCCGGTAATTCTGCAACCCAGACTACAAGCTGGTCAAATTGCCGTTAACCAGAATGAAAAGGAAATTGACACAGAGAAGAAGTCCTGATTTTTATTCATCCTGAGAGGATTCTCAGTTAAAAGTTAAAAAAAGAAAGAAGAAAAAAAAAAAGGAACTCATACAGAGGTGTCATCCGGTCATCCAAACAGTTTCTTAAAGAACAACAACAAAATGCAGATAACTTAAGATTTTTCTCTGTGTGTTTAGAAGAGCATACATTTTAAATGAAAAAGACACCCCAGGCAAGTCATGACCCAAATTATTAAACGTGTAAAACATTTCAATTATTGATTAATCATCATGAGATTTGTTCATATCTTAACATAATTATTGTTTGGGATCCCTTTTCTTTGACTACACAATGCAATGGCATTGATCACACTATCTTCATATTTATAATTTACATATCCATCCCTCTTACTTCACCATATGTATAGTTGAAAGCAGTTGCTAGGCTTTTTCATCTCCTAGTCTTAGCACCTGGCACAATGCTTGGCACATATTCAAAAAATGTTTGTTGAACTGAACACAAACACTACTGAAATTCAGACCTTTCTTCTTTAAATTTTTTAAAATCCTCATTCAAGGATATGGTTTTTTGAGAGAGAGCAGGAGGGAGGAAGGGTAAGAGAGAGAGAAGGAGGGTGAGAGGGAAGAAGGAAAGAAGGGAGGGAGGGAAAGAAGGAGGGAGGGAGGGAGGGAGAGGGAGAGGGAGAGAGGGAGAGAGGGAGAGGGAGAGAGGGAGAGGGAGAGAGAGGGAGAGGGAGAGGGAGAGGGAGAAGGAGAGGGAGAGGGAGAGGGAGAGGGAGAGGGAGAGGGAGAGGGAGAGGGAGAGGGAGAGGGAGAGGGAGAGGGAGAGGGAGAGGGAGAGAGAGAGGGAGAGGGAGAAGGAGAGGGAGAGGGAGAGGGAGAGGGAGACGGAGAGGGAGACGGAGAGGGAGACGGAGAGGGAGACGGAGAGGGAGGGAGAGATTCTTTTCCTCTTGTACACTCCCGACTGGGGATCAAACCTGCAACCTAGATATGTGTCCTGACCGGGAATCAACCTGCAACTTTCTGATTTAAGGAATGACACCCCAGCCAACTGAGCCACACCAGCCAGGGAGAAATTTAGCTTTTTCAACAATGAGAAAATTAGGTTGGTAAATGTTTGAAAGAAACCCATAAGTTCACCATGTTTGAAGAATGACTAAAGTTTTAAATTTAATAGAAAAAAATGTGTTACTCACTGCGGCTTGTTTACTTATAGGAAATCTAATGTGTCTGTGCTAAAGAATCTGAGGGTTAATAAGATTTCCTATTCTATTTGGCCATAAGAATGAAAACTATTTGGATAGCTAAGATAAGGCATATTCTATAGCCCTTCCTAAACACATTCTACTCCCGCACAAAGGCAAAGAAGAGGGTGAATAACCCGCTCCTAAACTTTATATGGTGAAAGAGATGACATTATGAAATTGAGGGCTGGTTCCAGGCACAGCCGGCATGACTATTAGAAGGAAGAACGCAGGAATTAATCCCATCACCAGCTCAGCTCCTAGTATGTGCCTTGTGACCATTGCCTCTACCTATCGTAGATCCTTCTACCACATGGAAATCGACACAAGAGGCACAACTCTAAATTTACTAAATGCCTATATACTAAATGCATATTCTGCCAGGTACTCTCCACATATTTTTATAATCTTCACAAAAAAAACTATATAAGGTTATATTATATCACACTGTATAAATAACACTGCAGTTGAAAGAAGTTAAGTAATTTTGTTGGCCAAAAGCTAATTAATGGTGGACCTAGGATTCAAATCCCCACCTGCCTGGTTCCAAAGACAACTCCTACTATTTCCTGTTGCTTTCCCAGGCACCAAACAACAGGCCCCAGAAAAGGAACAGAACTGGTAGTATGAGAAGGCTCTTGTCTTGAGGTTAACTCTACCTGAGATGGAGGCCTGAGTGAAGATTTCTGCCACTTCCCCCTGAGAGGTGGAAGGAAGGACTCAGTATGCTCTGCTCTGGGTTACCCGGAAATAATTGAACTTTAAGGCCTTCTCTATTATAGCCAGAGCTACTTTAGCTTCAACTTACCCATATTGAACATTTAAAGAGGTTTGTGACTCAATCTTACTAAAAAAATTTAAAAAATTAGCCGAAACTGGTTTGGCTCAGTGGTAGAGCATCGGTTTGCGGACTGAAAGGTCCCGGGTTCTATTCCAGGCAAGGGCATGTATCTTGGTTGCGGGCACATCCCCAGTAAGGGGTGTGCAAGAGGCAGCTCGTCGATGTTTCTCTCTCATCAACGTTTCTAGCTCTCTATCTCTCTCCCGTCTTCTTTGTAAAAAATCAATAAGAAACATATTTAAAAAAAATTAAAAACTGGTCCTTTACTGTTTATGTGCACATAAAAAAAGTACAATTATGATAAGTATTTTATTGGATACATATTAGAGGATCAAAAACACGTAGATTCACCTAGTATTTTTAAAATAATCACATTATTGTGTGCGTTTTTCCTTCACAAAGTCTAGATTCATGAGATCAGTTAGAAGTCAATCATAATTTTTTCTAGTTAGAAAAATATACACTAGGATAACATAGTAACTTATAAATTAATCTAAAAATATCCTTCTTTATATTAAACTAAAGGCCTGGTGCACAAAATTCATGCATGGCGGGGGGGGGGGGGGCTATCCCTCAGCCCAGTCTGCACCCTCTCCAATCTTGGACATCCCTCTCACAATCCAGGACTGCGGGCTCCTAACCACTCGCCTGCCTGCCTGATTGCCCCTAACTACTCTGCCTGCCAGCCTGATAGTCCCCTAACTACTCCCCTGCCAGCATGGTTATTTCCAACTGCCCTCCCCTGCCAGCCTGATTGTACCCAACTGCTTTCCCTTATGGAATTGAGGGGACTGGGGACTCTGGCTGGATGAAGTGGGCCTGAGGGGATGGGGAAACTGACATTGGATGAGGCAGGGCTGAGGGGACTGGATGTCACAATCTTGTTGCTGTGGGCATCACCATCTTGTGAGGTTGTGGCAGTCAATTAGCATATTTCCTCTTTATTGGCTGTGAGCACCATCATCTTGTGAGGGCATGATGGTAAATTACCATATTCCTTCTTTATTAGATAGGATATTCTAAGTATTTTCTTGAATTTCTAAACATTTTCTTTTTTAACAGTAGAAAATCAAGTTTAATATATTCACATAGGGCATTTACTTGGGAATACAAATTCACTTAATATTTCCTTGAATGCTTATATTTAACCTTTTCTGTATCTTTTTGTTGTTAATCCTCCTCACCTGAGGATATTTTTTCATTGATTTTTGTTGAGAATAGGAGGGTAAGACAGAGAGAAACATTGATGTGAGAAAAACACATCAATTGGTTGCCTCCTGCACAAGCTCTGACCAGAGTCCGGGCCAAGGAGGAACCTGCAACCAAGGTATGTGTCCTTGACCAGAATCGAACCCGTGACCCTTCAGTCCACTGGCCAATGCTCTACCCACTGAGTCAAATCAGGCTAACTTTCTATATCTTTTAATCTAATACTATGATTAAAGAATAAGAGATGAGCAAATGTAATATTTATTTCAAGGTGAATATGATTCATCATGAAGCCAAGTCCTTATATGACTTTCACAGAAAAGGCCTTGCAATGCCTCCCTCTATTTCATCACACTTAGAAAAGCAGGAAGGTAACATGATTAACTAAAAAGATTTGAGACTAAAAATGATACTAGGTTTTATACTGGAATGAATCAAATTCTCTGTTTCTTCTCAGAGTAGGAGTCAGCAAACTATAACCACAGGCCAAATTCAGTCCACCACTTATTTTGTATGCCCTGTGAGCCAATAGTGGTCTTTACAACTTTAAAGAGTTGAAAAACACTCAAAATTTTATAACATGTAAAAATTGTATGAAATTTTAATTTGTGTCCATAAATGAAGTTATGTTGGAACACAGCCATATCACTTTATCACATACTAAATGTGGCTGATTTTGCACTACACTGGCAGAGTTGAAAAACCACAACAGAAGTGTATGGGGCTGTCATTGCTTTGCACTGTGGCTTGGCACAATACAAATCCCAGTGGCATAGTCATAATTCATTAGTGTCTGGAGTGCCATGTGCATGAACGTTTGTGGGTTTGATCCCAGGTCAGGACAACCAACTGATATTTCCCTCACCTCTCCCTCTCTCTCTCTCTCTCTCTCTCTCGCTCTCGCTCTCGCTCTCGCTCTCGCTCTCTCTCATCTTCCCTTCCACTTTCTAAACATATCCTTGGGTGAGGATTAAAACAAACTAACAAGCAAATAAATAAAAATAAAAAATGAGACTATAACCAAAAAAAGTTTCTAAGTGGTTTATTTACTAGACAAGCAAGAAAATCTGTTTACCAATACAGAATTAAATGAAACCACAGCCAGAAAAAACAAACTTGTTTAAAGACTACTCCTCAGCAAGAGTAATTTCTCAAAGAGTTGACATCATTGGAAGCAACATCAATAGTTATTTAAAAACTAGAGGCCCGGTGCATGAAATTCATGGATTTGGGGAGGGAGTCACTCACCCCAGATTGTGAGAGGGCACAGGCCAGGCCGAGGGACCCCACCAGTGCATGATTGGGGTTGGGAGGGATGCAGGAGGTTGGCCAGCCAAGAGCGACCTTGGGAGGGCTCCAGCGCATGTCTGGCCCATCTCGCTCAGTCCTGATCAGCTGGAACCCAGTAGCAAGCTAACCTACTGATCATAGCATATGTCCCTGGTGGTTAGTGATGTCATAGTGACTGGTCGACCAGTCAACTGTCTGTCCCCTGGTAGTCAATACAAGTCTTAGAGATTAATAAAATTATATATATATATATTTAAAAATCATATATTCATGAGTATTTGGTAGTATTTATCAGCATGAAAATAAACTTTCCAAGATAAAATACATAAAATGTCATTACAAATTAATTTTAAACAAATAAATTTTTGCAACTGATTATGCCAATTTGATAGGCAATGCTGGATTTTTACCCCAAAAATTACTCCCACAAAGAATAATTCCATTCTTCTCATTAGTAGGCCTCAATCTCTCTCTCTCTCTCTCTCTCACACACACACACACACACACACACACAGAGTACTCAATTATTATTCTTATATTCTAAATTTTGGCAGTAAAAATATGAAAAATTTTTTTATCTCTCTAGTTATATAAGTATCTATAATTGATTTTATCTCTTACCTAAGAAATCCTAAAATAATTACTATCTTGCCTTTTACAGAAAAATTTGCTGCCCTTTGCTGTAGAATAAGCAAGATAAATTTCCTTCAAGATATGACCAGAAAGTTCCCCTTTCTTATCCATTCTATTTCTTCACCAATTCTGGTAAGTGAATTGAAAGGAAAAGAGAAATTAAAAATTACCTTGAGAGGAACAATAATACAATTTTAATTGAAATTCATAACAACTTTGGGTCTAAAACACAGTAGAAGTTGACTGAGAAAAAATTGAAGTAAAGAAGAAAATGACTTTTTTCAAGCAAAGAGAAATAGTTGTGTAAAAGCATGGCAAAATGAAAGACCTGAAAAATTGCTAACGCGAGGCAGTAAAGGACTTTAGATCCTAAGTGGAGAGCTTAGGATGTAAGGAGAGCTTAGGAAAGGAGCGCCAAAAGAGAATGTTCTTAAGAAAGAAAACCAAACAACAGTGAGCCAGCACACAGACCAGGGCAATGAGATTCTATTCTTGGCCAATAAGAGACGCGGGGTTAAGGCTGCAGCTCTCATTGTTTCCTCTTCTCAACTTCAAGCCCAAATGTTTGTGCCACGTTTGTAGTGCTAACCAGACCCTCACACGTTAGAATCAACAGTCAACACTCAATTGTTACAGTCTGTTCTCTGTGGTCACAAAGAAGGAGTCTAATCTTTCTTACCCACAGCACTGTGGTGACCAGAATCTTAATGTAATCCCCATGATTTCTGATCCCTGATGCTCACACCTGTACACTCTTCAACCCTTCCTTGAGCATGGGCATGACCTATGATTTACATCTAGCCAACAAATTAAATGAAAAATAAAAAGATTTTGCAGATGTAAATTAGGTCCTAAATCAGTTGATTTTGAGTTCATCAAAAGGGAGCTGTGGGCAGCCTCTAGCCAATACCCAGCAAAACAAACAAACAAACAAAAACAGTCCCTCAGTCAGAAACCCCAGGAACTGAATTATGACAACATTGTGACTTGTTGAAACTTGAAAGCAGATTCTCTCCCCCAGTCAAGCCTCCAGCAAAGAGTGCACTTTTGCCAAAACCATGATTGCAGCTTGTGGAACCCTGAGCAGAGCCCCAAGCTAAACTGTGCCAGGACTTCAGACCCTCAGAAACTGTACTCCAGACAAGTTATCTTTTCCATGAATGGTTTGCACTAGCTTTTCATGATGTGGATTAAACTTAAGTTACCTGTAATACTGCTCCTTTCTCTGTTTGGCAAACTCCAACTCCTCTTTTACAGCTGCTTCTTTTCAGAGGTTGTCCCTAACTCCCCTCCTTTCAAGCAAAATGAAGCCCCTCTCATCTGGTTTTCCAGAGATGCTGATATCCTTTAATAACACTTGCCACCAGTATAGTATAGGTACTATTTATAGCAGACTGCATGTTCCAGGAGGGAGGAATAATCATCTTTGTAACCTAGTGCCTAGTCTACAAACATGCTACAAAAAGTTCAGTGAATGTTTAGTGACTTAAGTGAAAGGCAGTAAAAAATCATAAAAAGACAAAGTGCACAAAAACCTATAGGTTACCTACTCTGATTTCTAAATGTTTTGCCTAACTACTTATCTTTAGATTGTATCCTTCTAATTTTATAAGTAACTAGAGGCCTGGTGCACAAAATTTGTGCAGGGCAGGGAGATGTCCCTCAGCTCAGGCTGCACTCTCTCCAATCTGGGACCCCTTGAGGGATGTCTGACTGCCTGCTCAGGCCCGATCCCGATAGGACTGCTGGCTCCCAACTGCTCGCCTGCCTGCCTTCTTGATTGCCCCAACTACTTCTGTCTGCCAGCCTGATCACCCCCTAACCACTCCCCTGCCAGCCTATTCGACCCTACCTGCCCTCCCCTGCAGGCCTGGTAACCCCCAACTTCCCTCCCTTGAAGGCCTTGTCCCTCCCAACTGCCCTCTCCTGCTGGCTATCTTGTGGTGGCCATCTTATGTCCACATGGGGGCAGGATCTTTGACCACATGGGGGCAGCCATCTTGTGTGTTGGAGTGATGGGCAATCTGAGTATTACTCTTTTATTAGATAGGATAGAGGCCTGGTGCATGGGTGGGGACCAGCTGGTTTGCCTTAAAGGGTGTTCCGGATCAGGGTGGGGGTTCCCTTGGGGCATGGGGCAGCCTGGGCGAGGGGCCTGTGCTGATTTGCAGGCCAGCCATGCCCCCCCCCCCCCCCCCCCCAGTGATCCAAATAGAGGCCCTGGTATCTGGGAATTATTTATCTTCTACAATTGAAACTCTGTAGCCTGGAGCAAAGCCAAGCCAGGCCTGGGCCAGCAAGGGCAGGGGGAAACCCAAGCCTCCCTCCTATTCTCTGTGGCCTCAGCCATCTTGGTTGGGTTTATTTGCATATTTGCTCCTGATTGGCTGGTGGATGGGGCTTGTAGGTATAGTGTAGGTATTTATATTACTCTTTTATTAGATAGGATACTAGAGGCCCAGTATATGAAATTCGTAGAAGGGGGGTTTCCTCAGCCCAGCCTGCACTTGCTCCAATCTGGGACCCCTCAGGGGATGTCCAACAGCTAGTTTAAGATAGCCCTCTCACATTCCAGGACCACTGGCTCCTCACTGCTTACCTGCCTGCCTGCCTGCCTGCCTGATCACTCCTAACCTTCCCCCTTATGGCCTAGTCACCCCCAACTGCCCCCCCCACTGGCCTGGTCAAACCTAACTGCCCCCCCCTCCCGCCGGCCTTGTTACCCCTCTGCATGCCTGGTCACCCCAACTGTCCCCCGCTGGCCTTGTTGCCTCTTACTGCCACGCCTGCCAGCCTGGTCGTCCCCAACTGCCCCCCATGCTGACCTGGTCACCCCTTACTGTCACCCCACACAGCCTGCTGTTTGGTCATTTAGTCGCCCCTCACTAACCCCACTGCTGAACTATTAACCCCACACAGCCTGTTAAGTCATTCATTTGGTTGCAATGGTTGCGTAGACTTTTATTTATACAGATAACTCCCCCCCTCCCCCGCCCCTTAATAGAGTAGAAAAACAAGATTGGAAAGTAAGATTTATACACCTTTAAGCAGCAGAGTTAAATTTAGAAAAAAGCTACCAATTTTAGATTTAACCCTTCCTATTATAGTAACACACTATTATAACAAGACTCTAACCTAGTAGGCATCTTAAAGTTTAATAATGTTACAGAAATAAATCTTTTGTATGAAAAATTTTATTCCGTAAAGAAATTTCAGCCCTGGCTGGTATGGCTCAGTTAGTTGAGCATTATCCAGTGCACCAAAGGGTTGCTGGTTCAATTCCCAGTCAGTGCACATACCCAGGTTGGGGTGTATATGGGAGGCAGTCAATTGATATATCTCTCTTACACTGATATCTATCTCTCTCTCTCTCTCTCTCTCCCTCTCTCTCTCTCTCTTCTCTTTTCCTCCTCCTCCTCTCTCCCCTCCTCTCATCTCTCTCTAAAATCAATAAAAACATATTTTTAAAAATTTTCAATTTTAAAAATTACTAAGTATTAATCAATTTCAGAATCACATGCTAGGGCCACAGGAATAGAGGAGGATGCATGAAATTTAGTCAGTCTTGAGAATATAATAAGATTATTTTGACAAAACAAGGTAAACATGAAGGTTTAAGGAGTGTATTATATGATGTTATCCTTTTCTAAGTGAGACATGCAAATGAAAACCTATTTATTTACCTTAAGGATTCAGATAATGGTGTTAAAGTGCCATCTCCCCTATCTACTACACGAAAGAAATTCAACTGCTCTCCTTCTCGGTATACCAAAAATGTAACTTGTTTGTTGTAGGAGGTCTTCTCCCAGACCTCATCTTGACTGGAATCCATGTACTCAGCCATCTCCCTAAGTGGGTCTTCCATAGGAACTACAAATGGAAAAATTGATAAACAAGCTTTCAATTTCTATCAAGTTTTATGCATCTTGGTACAGTGACAGGACATAATATTATGAACTTGAACAACAACCTTGTGCATACAATATATTATATATAATATTCTTTAAAAAGTTTCTGGTCTTTTATAGTTAATACTCCCTATGTTGTATTAATATGAAATAAATGAAATGCATTATTTGTCTTGTTACGTACAAAGATACACAAGGTTTTTCCTATACTGCTAGTCTGTATAGTTGCTGACTCTATGACATAATTGGTCTCACTTGACACCTCTGCTTCCTATATTTTCTAATATTGATTCCAACAATCAACAATTAAAAGCAATATAAATCCCACTTACTTTATATTAAAAAAATAAGCACACACATAATTAGAAGACATATTAGAAGTGAGAAGCAATTGAATCCTTCTTTCTGGTTTTATATAGAGGCTGAGTCCTCTTAGAGCCGTTTTATGTGTGTGTTTTTTTTAAATATTTTATTGAGTTTTTACAGAGAGGAAGAGAGAGGAATAGAAAGCTAGAAACATCGATGAGAGAGAAACATCGATCAGCTGCCTCTTGCACACCCCCTACTGGGGATGTGCCCGCAATCAAGGTACATGCCCTTGACCAGAATTGAACCTGGGACCTTTCAGTCCGCAGGCCAACGCTTACCCACTGAGCCAAACCAATTTCGGCTTAGAGCCGTTTCTTGATGTGCAGTCAGGTAATTAAAAGTACACAGTAATTCAGAAACAAAGGGGCCACTTAAGTACTGAAACCGCAATGTGTATAATGATTAGAATGTTTTTTGTTAAAAGCGTCTTCCCAGGAGCCGAGTTATTCTGGGATAGAACACATCTATGTGCCCAGTCAAAGCACAGGACTGGGGCAAAGTCCTCACTACTGACGGGCATTATAAGTCAAAGATGTCCTCGGGTTTGAGTGATATTACTCTTGTGCAGAGCAGCCACAGTCCTTCTGCTCCTGGGAATTGGCCTGAAGAGATTGCTGGCTCTTGGGGTGAATGTTCTAAAAGCCCCTAACTCCACACTTGGGTGTTTAAGTAATGGTTACAGGAAATAAAATAGTTCCCAAAGACATTCTCACAACAAGTTGAAGAAACATTTGCTCTTTCCTAAAAGAAGCAATAATTTCTCAAACTCCATAACTCCATAACTCTCATTCAAGTAGCTTACTTGTTACCAGAATCACAGTGCTGCACTATTTTAAAAAATTGTAAGTAAAGTTGAACTCTGAAAGTAACAAGATAAAAACATTAAAGATGTTTTCATATCCTAAATTCAATACCACCACTACTAAAACTCAAAAATTTTAGAAATATAATAGGATTTAGTTTATTTCATAAAAATGTTTGGGGCCCAGCCAGTGTGGCTGTGGTTGAACATCAACCTATGAACCAGAAGGTCACAATTTGATTCCTAGTCAGAACAAATGCATAAATATTAAAACACATTTTAAAAACAAGTTCTTGCCAGTTTTAAGTTAATGATATCCACATTATATTTATGAGAAATAAAAACCTATGCTATTGTCATTACTTAACGCCACATGGAAATCTTACTAAAATCAATATAATGTGCCTTTCTTAGGGAAGCACTGGATTTAATATGTTTATATGTATATGTATATGTATGTACACACATTTTCATAACAGAAAAATGACTTAGATTTCATCAGGCATAAAACTTGTACATACACTGAGTGGCCAGATTATTATGATCTCTGAATGCATAATAATCTGGCCACTTAATGTTTATCCTATATAATAAAAGAGTAATATGCAAATTAACCATCACTTTGATACACCCACAAGCCATGCCACCCGCAATCAGGAGCGAATATGCAAATAAACCCAACCAAGATGGCTGAGGCCACGGAGAGCAGGAGGGAGGCTTGGGTTTCCCCCTGCCCTTGCTGGCCCAGGCCTCCACTTAAGGCTACAAAGTTTCAATTATAGAAGGTAAATAAATCCCACCAGAAATGGCTGTGGCCACAGAGCGAGCAGAAGGCATGGCTCTGCTCCAGGCTACAAAGTTTCAATTGTAGAAGATAAATAATTCCCAGACACCAGGGCCTCCATTTGGGTCACTGGGGGGGCATGGCCGACCTGCAAACCAGCACAGGCCCCTCACCCAGGCTGCCCCAAGCTCCAAGGGAACCCCCACCCTGATCTGGGACACCCTTCGGGACAAACCAGCTGGCCCCCACCCATGCACCAGGCCTCTATCCTATTTAATAAAAGAGTAATATTCAAATTGCCCATCACTCCAACACACAAGATGGCTGCCCCATGTGGTCAAAGATCCTGCCCCCATGTGGACATAAGACGGCCACCACTAGATGGCCAGTAGGGTAGAGCAGTTGGGGGTGACCAGGCCTGCAGGGGAGAGCAGTTAGGGGTGACCAGGCCTGCAGGGGATAGTAGTTAAGGGCAAATTGGCTGGCAGGGGAGACGTTAAGCATCAATTGGGCTGGTAAGGAAGTGGTTAGGGGGTGATCAGGCTAGCAGGCAGAAGCATTAGGGGCAATCAGGAAGGCAGGCAATCAGTTGGGAGCCAGCAGTCCTAGATTGTCAGAGGGATATCTGACTGCCCATTTAGAAGTGGGCAGTTGGACATCCCTCAAGGGGTCCCAGATTAGAGAGGGTACAGGCTAGGCTGAGCGACACCCCCCAACACACATTAATTTCATGCACCAGATCTCTAGTCCTATATAATAAAAGGCTAATATGCAAACTGTCCCCTTGACCAGGAGTTCGAACAGCAGGCAGGCTGGCCAACTGCCCATGTCCCCTCTCCTGGCCAGGCTGGCTGGACCCCACCCATGCACAAATTCATGCACTGGGCCTCAAAAAAATAAATATATATATATATTGAGTGGCTAGACTATTACGCATTCAGGGATCATAATAATCTGGTCACTCAGTGTATAGTTTAAGATAAATTTTAATTTTAGGAAGGAAAGTATTTTCTATGCTGTTTTAAAATGGTTGATTAAAAATTTTTTAAAGCTAAATATTACTTACTGGAACTTAAATAATACAAATACTTTCTAAATCATAAGTTTTAAATAAGATTAAATAAATAGCTAAAAAACATATTTTCTCAAATCCATATAGAGAAGTTTTAGATCTGGGCTCACAAAGATTTTAATGATGTAAGGTAGATAACATCAAACTTTTAATTTTAAAAATGTTGATTTGATAAAGGCAAAATTATTAAAAACTTAATTTAAAATATTAAAAAATAGACAATTTCTAAGTGCTGATTATTCAATTTATAAATAAGGCACAAAATGTTGTAGGGAAAAAAGGTATTACAAAGCTTCAATTATCAAAGGGTAGTAATGCAGTTCATTTTAAATATTTTAAGTTTTAAAAATACATATAGTTTTAACTCAGAATCTATAGCACTTACATGCCTCATCATAAGCATAAAATAAGTTTAGTCCTAGTTAAAAAAAAAAAAAAATAGGTGTTCTGATTAAAATCCTGGTTAAAAAAAAAATAGTGTACACAAATAACCAACTTTCAAAAATATGATACAATGGAGTTCACATGTCATTAAACACTGCATAATTCTATCTTACAATAATGACCCAGGAAACGCTTTAGGGTCTGGTACTACCCTCAGAATCAGTATTACAGACATCAACTTATGTCATATATAAGAATTTCATGTTAATAGACAGCCCCTGATATTAGGAATGCTAATTTATCAGCTCTAACATTATTTCCATCTTTTCTAGCTTATCCAAAATAAACAGAAAAAAGAACATATCTCTCAAAATCCTCTTGAGATTTTGAGAAATGATAGGAACAAGACGATAAAAGCTTTATTTTTTAACTAAAATTTGAAGCATGGAGATAAAATTTGACCTGTAGAAGAAATAAACCAGCAGTAGACTCAATACCTAATTCTGTTTTCAGGTTAAAGAAGGCTCAAACAACTATGAAGTCCTTCCCCAAATGAAGACTGCTCTAAGCAGGCTAAGGGAGCCTCTCTCTGCGGTGTTCATGTGGCATGCCTGAATTAGGGACCAGTGTAAACACTCCCAATTCTTTCCACGCTCAGAATTTCCTCATTAATCAAGTCTCTGCTCACATCATCTTCTCCCAGAGCCCTTCCCCAATCACCTCCTCTCACCCAGCCTCCACAGACTCTATCATACTACCCTGTTTCCTCCTAAAATGACATCCACACTTTACACGCTTATTGTGGGGACCTTCATGAATTAGGGACATTTTCTCCATAAAATATTGCACTGAACACCTAGATGCTCAAAATGTATTTGATGAATGAATGTATGAATAAATGAATGAATGAATGAATTCCCAAGGACTGTCCATATTCTGAAAAAGTATTCAACAGGGCCATGATAGTATCTATGACACCCAAATACATCACAGACAAGGCTAAGAGATATCCAGGAAGTTCCACAAATATCACCACCCCAGGCCTGCCTGGTGTGGCTTAGTGATTGAGGGTTGACCCATGAACCAGGAAGTTACAGTTTGATTCCCCATCAGGGCACAGGCCTGGGTTGCAGGCTCAGTCTCCAGTAGAGGGCATGCAGGAGGCAGCCAATCAATGATTCTCATCATTGATGTTATATATTTTTCTCCCTTCCTCTCTGAAATCAATAAAAAAAATATTTTAAAAAAATAAGACATTACCTCAGGGATTAAGGAATCAGTGGATAAAAACAAGCAACAAGCCTGGAATGAACCTAATCACAATAACAACATATTTGTATTATGCCATTCCATTTCCCTTCCCTATATTGATGAAGTTTATTTTTACTTATTTGTTTTTTAAATATATTTTTATTGATTTCAGAGAGGCAGGGAGGGAGGGAAGGGAGAGAGAGAGAAACATCAATGATGAGAAAGAATCATCAATCAGCCTCCTCCTGCACTCCCTCCTCCCCCACTGGGGATCCAGCCTGCAACCTGGGCACAT